AGTGTAAAGCAGGAATTGTGTTTGTAGTTTAGCAGAATTGGTTCAGGGCGTTGGTGCATGAGTTACATGTTGTGGTCATTGTGTCTCAAGTACCATTAATTGTGTGTAAACAATTGAGAAGATTAATAAGAATAGATCCATTGTTGAGACAAAAGCAATACAAACTGATAACCATTAACACTATACAGTACAGTGACAGTATTTTTCACATTCATCTTGACTACTCTGTAAAAGATAGCTGCAATATATACACACACACACACACACACACACACACACACATAGCATCAGTATAAAGTAAGTGCTAAAACAAATGTCCAGTTGTGTGTCAGCATCAAGCCCTTCGAAGCAACAGTTCATATTTTTATGCAGTCTAAGAGCTGGAATGCAGCCAGGAGCAAGAGAAAATCCTGTCATCTGTCTTTTAAAGGTCCAATGACTTTGATCATAATGCCGTTATAAACCCTGTTATGTATATGGATCCGTTTATCCTATTATATGATGTAGACCCGAATAAATCATATTTCTTTTTACTGAGATGGGCCAGACACAAACACTCATTAGCAATAGCTGAACATTCGTTTTCTCAAAATGGCATTTTGCTTACACTCCACACAATCTCTGTGATAGGTACAGCTACCAAATGTTACATACTTTAAATATTCTGTTTTAAAGTGAGATAGATCAATAATTTGATTCCTTGAAGAAATGGTAAGAGGCTTTTTTCATTTCTTTAGGCATTTTGTGTGAAAAATTGCCAAAACTGATGTTTATCAGTACATATGACATGTTTTCCAACTTCAAAAAAGTCTTGTATTTGGGTACATATTAATCTGCAGTTTCATCCTGATGGAATAAATTAATTTGTTTCTACTTAAGTGTCTGGCCTTAAATTTCTACTGCCATCTAAATAAGGGAAACCATTCAAGTCTCAAATATATTAATGTATATACTAATGAATGTGTGAACCTTCCTTTTGGGCCTTAACTTGAAATAATTTGTCCTTGATAAGTTCTTAAAATGTCTCATTACAAAAGTAAGGCTACCTTATTTTTCATTATTATTGAATATATGCATGGAAAAGTTTTCTTTGCATCAAATAATGTATAATATTCATGAATGTAACAAAATCAGAGACACAATATTTCATGCAAAGACTTTTATTTATGAATACTCTGCAGTACTGTACAATAGCACACACTTGTCTCTATATCTGATCATTCTCAATGATCATTTCAAATATAGACAAATATTGTGCCTTCACAAACAGTTCCCTTTTCACAATAATCTAAAAATACCTTGTTCTGTTTTAAATATGTAGCATAACTTTTTGAAAATAAAATATACATTATATGAAATATAACAGTTGTTTATTGGATAGACTATATAGTACCAAATGCAATTATATGCAAATACACCTTCTCTCTGTGACTTCTTACGCATTTCATGCACAAAAAAAGAGGAGAAAAAAAAGATGCCGCGCATACAAAAGAAGCTGTACATACTTCTGTATGAAAATATAAAATATCAAAGCAAGATGTGCACCAATAATCTATATCATGTTACAAAGAACTTGCAGTACAAAAAGACCTACTAGAATGACCAGATAACACGTTACCTGGAACACAGAGGTATGGGTACTGGGCTGGTTAACGGGACAAAGACAAAACCTCCCACTGAGCTTCCACCGATGAACTCCAGTCAGAGCCACTTCCATGCAAGTTTAGATCCAACGGGTTCAACATCAACTACAGCTGGATCAAAGAGCGACAGGGTCAAACAAGCAAACCAGAAGTTGCCGTTTAAGCTTTGAATTTTGGTACTAAACCCAGTAAATGTAGATGTCCAATGCATTGCATAAAGTTTGGTTTGGTATGGTTTTTAATTTCTTGTATTGCTACCCCATAAGTAAAGTGAGTGTAAACCAATTGCCAGTTATGCCCACAACTTATAAAGCACTGATATGTCAACATTAAATTATTGAACATGTTCAGATACTGTGGTTAGTGTCCCAACAGCAATGTTCTGTACAGCATCAATATTAAGCTTCTTCAGCTAAACCTTATTATTATTGCCAAAACAACTCCAAATGTTTGTTTTCACTGAAGTAAAATGAATTACTGATGTCCAGTTTTAACTAGGATGCGTAAACCGACAATACTGAATGTGTTACACACAAATGAAGTTCTCTACAGAAACAGTGTGTACAAGGCACACTGCGATCGATATAGCTACATCTATCATTTCCTGCAAAAAAACAAAAGCACTTCAGAAATCACACGTAAACTAAGATGTGAACAAAGAAGAACTCCACGGTTAAATATAGACGTCTGTTAATGCCACAAAATATAGATTTTCTTCTTCAACAGTATGAGGATTAACAAAAATAACACTTAAATCAGACGTTTCTGATACACGTTGCCATTGCTGATGCTGAGACTGACGGCGCCGGAGAACAGGGAGGGTGCGAAAACGAATCCCTCCGACTGTAATCTTTGAGTATTTGGAGAGATTATCAGGTGCTCACTGGTAGCATAAAGCCAATAATCTCAGCAGTGCAAAGCTAACACTTGTACCAAAAGGTAGAGCTTCAAAGCAGACGTTTAAATGCAATCAGCTCCTTGAAATGGAGACTTACTACTCAAATCATGTCACAAACATCTTGTATACGACGACTATATTGCTCTTGAGTGAAACTATTCAAGGACCACAGTGTTTCTCATTGCAATCCAGGCTCACTGAATACATTCTCTATCACACAAGTATAAGAATAAAGAGCACAGGGTTTCATTATTAGTAATACACCCAAAGACTACACTTCCAAAAATCTAGTCTTTTCTTAACATAGATAAGAAAATATACATTTCTTCAGCAATTAAATGTCTTAAATTGATTTTTTATATTCTTAATAAAATCTTATAACTCTTTCTTATTTACATTTGGTGTAGTTTAATACTGATTGTAATGCAATACTGTTGCCTTCTTGTTGTTTTTTTCTGTTACATTTCTTTTTGTTGAGCAGAAGCACTTTTACATTCATATTTCAACACCCAAGCTCGAGAAGGAGCCCAAGTGCAGACGGGAATAATGACATGCATTTTTCCAAAAGCAAAATAAGACAACTTCAAAAGGAGGAAGTCCGCTTGCTTGAGCAAATAAACTTTCTGAGAGGTGGAGAGAATGGAAGGACGAGGATGCCGGGGTTGAAAAGGCCTGGAGAATTGGCACCGGAGGCGCCTTTATTTGGCTGTAAAAATGCTCTCGCAGCACCAGGACAGTCAGTTCTGTGAGTAGTAATGCGTAACAATATTGGAGGGAGTCACAGCTGACTAAGCCGTGAGGTGAGATGAAAGCCTTTGTTGTTGGAAAAAGCTGTTAACTTGAGAAAGACAGTTTCCACAGTGGTGAAGGCAGTGTCAGAGGTTACACTCTCTCCACTCGACTGGGGTCGTAGGAGTCTGATGAGAAAAGCGAGAAAGAAAAGATGAGACAACATGATCAGCAACAACAAGTCACACTGATATTATTTGCCCTGTGAATGGTGGAAATTAAAGGCTGTCTGTGGAGTTTCTGGGCACATTTACAGCACTAGGAAATAGGCTAGTTTGCTTTCTTTTCGAGAACAAGGTGAGAAGATTTATATCAATCCCATGTCTATGCATTAAGTACAGAGCTGGACTTGGGAAATGGTTAGCCTAGCTTAGCATAAAGACTGTAAGCTGGGGGAAACTTAGTAGGTCTTTGGACTATGACCTATTAAATAACTAAAAACCTAAACACCTCTAGACTTCACTAATGAGCCTGCTGTATCTCATTTGTTTGACATACATACGCAGAAATGTAAAAATAACAATTTGTGGTTTTAGGTGAAGTTACATACTGGAAAAAAATTTAGCAAACAACAGAAGTCTTGTCATCACAGTCAGGTTTACAGGTTTGGTACCATCACTAGCATAGAGTCAAAACCTGTGCTATCCAACCATATCTGGCAACCAAGGATATAGCCGGAGGAGCTGCTGATTTTTGTCCATGAGAACCCTTACTTCTTATTGCATACAGCCACCTGCTGCTGAGTCAAGGACACACTCCAAAACACTTGTGTAACACTTGCCACATTCGCCCTTTCATACACATTCACACACTGATGCACAGCATCAGGAGCAATTTGGGGTCCAGTATCTTGCTCAAGGATACTTCGATGTGTTGCAAGAGGGGCTGGGGATCGAACCAATAGATTAGGGGACAACCCGCTCTGCCTCTGCGCCACAGCAAAGTTCAACTATCCCTCGAACATTAGAATGACAATCAGCAGTATAAGCAAATACCCATATATTATAATATGATGCAGCTTCACTTTGATGACAAAAAAAGCTTATAAAAAGTAGATTGATCTCCCAATTTCTTTTGTACCCACCTGAGACAGAGAGCATCTCCTCATCCTCCATATTTGAGGGGCCACAGGTCCCAGTGCTGAAGTCGAGTGGCAGCGTTATTTCTCTCTTGGGAACACTGCGAGGTTTAGGAAGCAGAGGAGGCTTCTGGAGCCTGGTGCGCTGCTTTGGTTTGGGCAGCTTTTCTCCCTCAGCTTGTGTCACCTCAGCTCTAATGACTTCTGCTGTATTCTGTCCATCTCTCACCTTCTCCACAGGCTTTTCTTTAACATCCTCCACAATTTTCAGCTCCACCTCTCCTCCTGGGTCTTCTGTTTTTAATTCAACATCTACTTCTTTACTCCATTCATTTTCAATTTCTGCTTTTAGTGCAATCTTAACATTTATCAATTCTTCCTCTTCTTCTTGTCTTTGCTCTTCCTCACATATCCCTTCATTCCCTTCTTCTTTAGGTTTACAAGCTTCTTCAGCATTTCCCAACTTGTCATGTGTTTCATGTGCATTCTCATGTTCATCTGGGTTTTCCTCCTCCTTCCCTCCTTTATCCTCCAAGTTTTTATCCTCTTCCTCTTCTTGTTGCTTCACAACTTCCTCCTTTGCCTTTTCCTGAACTTCACACTCCTCTCTATCACCATCCCTATCCTCAGAATCTGAACCTTTGAGGCTAAGGCGTCTTATTCGAGACACTGAGTCCAGCTCTTTCAGACGGGCCATTCTGTCTGTAGCGGACCTGCCCAGAGATGTAGCAGATGAAGTAGCGTTACAGTTTAGCTTATCTTGCAGGGATTCGATTAGTTTGCATGCTCCGCCTCGCCCCCTCTTCTCCGCACTGCACATGCTAAGTGCTAGCTTCTCATCAGGGGTGACGGGCAGGGAGAGTGGAAGCTTACTAGGTGGGAACTCGGGCAGGTCCAGTACCACCAGGCACTGAACCTCGGTATCCTCGTTGTCTTCACCATCACTGTGGTTGCTGCTGTGCTTTTGTCTGTCTCCTTCTTCAGGGTCCACTCCTGATCCTGTCTCCTTGACCTCCTCTGTCTCTTCTCCCTGGACAATCAGGGTCTCATCTTTGACTTGCTCACACTCTCCTATCACATGCTGTATCTCTTCAACTTGACTTTGTAGTTTTTCACTTACAGTGGTATCTATATCGTCCTGGTTGTCCTCTGACTGTTTGTCAGCCACACCCAAGGCTTCCACTGGAACAGATATACCCAGGATTCTGGCAGCCCGCTGCTCAATGGACTCATTTTCAGGGATACCTTTTGCACATTTGACCTCATACAGGTTGCTGAGGTCCTCTGCAGGTAAAGAATTTGCTTTCTCCTGAATCAGTAAATTCTCCAGGTGCTTATCTGCTATGGTTGACTCATTCTTATAGGTCAGGAGCTCAGAGATGGCGTACCTCTTATCACCATCATCATTCTTAAACACAAAAGAAACCTCCCTGGTTAACCTGGTGATATGTGGTGAACCCTCATTCTGAGGTGATCTGCTGCTTTCACTCCTGCTTCTACAGATGCTTAAATTCACCTCACCCCTGAATGGTGGAACATTGTCTGATTTAGCCTTTCTCTCAGTGTGTACCTCAGGTTGAAGCTCTTTATTTGAATTGTGCTCAAGGTTACTGCTATTTTGTGCTGTCCTGCTCTCCCACAAAAATGACTGACTAAGCTCCTTATGATCATGTGGAGATGGGACAGAAAGTGAGCGCTGCATTGGCTCCCCAGGACCACCAGGAGTCTCTGTGTAGACTGTTAACCCCACATCCCTCAGCAAGGACTCTTGAGGGACTGGGATGTCCTGTCTATAGAGCCTATTTGAATCACTGTGTGAGGGTAGTGAGGGCAGGAGGCAGCTGTCTCTAGGGCCTGGGTTGAGTATGGATAGTTCATTTGTTGGTGGTATGTTGTTGGCCTGTGGCCTGGAGAAAGCACTCTTCATGTCCATGGAGTCTAGATCAGCGGTAGAAGCCAAGGACTTTGATCTGACTTTTACATTGATGGGGTTTTCTGTGTGCATTGGTGGAAGACTGATTGCTTCCCTGCCTGGTTCTGGACCAGTAGTGAAATGTGCTCCTGATTTAAACTGGTCTAATCTCTTATTCATCCCATCTAAGTCATCAATGCACTGACCAACATTGGGTCTCTTGCTGATCGTGTCTTCCATCTCCTTATTAATGCTCTCCAGTTCACCAATGGCATCACAGGGCCGTCGGTTCACTGGCTTTAAGAGAAACTGACCAAAGGCCACTTGCTCTGCACTCTCTGTGGGACTGGAGTTGCTTTTCCTGGGAGATGATGGTTGCTGGTCCCCTTGATTCCGGGCCTTTGATGGGGAGGATGGGTCTTGTTGTGAGGCTTGAAGTGATGACGGTTGTGTTTGGCTGAGGCTTAGACGGGAAAAGGCGCTGTTGCTAGAGAGATGAAGGTTTTTCTGGCCTCCCATGGGGTAACCATAAGAGGAGCTACTGTCGGTCCCCAAACCACTGTCTGCGGTTGTGTCTGAGATCGACTGAGAAGGCTCTTGACCCCCTGAAGGACTCTGGGGTTCTGGACTTTTCACCACTGTCAAAGGTGAGCCAGTCTGGGTTTCCTGGTTACGGTATTGGTTTCCAGGCCAGGACCCAGCATAGCACAACTCTTTGTCTTCATTGGCTTGAAGTGCCCATGCATCTATTATCTCCTTCCTTAGAGGAGCCCTCTTGTAGTTCCTCATTGAGGATGTGCTGCTGGTGTGAAAGTGAGAGTAGTGGGGTTTGATGGGCATCTCATTCACCGACTTGCTCCGCACATTCCGGCTCTCTTTGAGGCCCACAGCGAAAGTGTCTGTGTTGGTGACAGTCAGGCTTGGTATTGTCTCATTGTTGTTCTGATCTGCCGCTAAGTCTTTGTTAATGTTAGTCGGCGTGTGAACAGGGACAGAAACAAGGCAGAAGATGGTTTCACTCACTCTTCTCTTGGTGTTCCTGTTGTTGTCTGGCCCTGAATCTGGGGCAATTTTCTTCACTTGGGTGATGGTTTCTGCAAAGACCTGATCTGAGCTGGACCCCTGGTGAGAAGTCCTTGTTAATGGGGCCTGGAAGGCTGAGGAGGGAGATGGAGGAGGACGTTGGTTTTTGGGATATCTGTTGTTGCAGTTTTGGTCAGTTGCTGGGAAGTTATCGACAGTCTCTTTGTGCAAATCACTGTGCCACCTGTTATTGTCATTGTCGAAATCGCTAGAAGACGTCTGGTTAGCATCATCGGCCAGTTTGGCAGCGATGAAAGGCCCCAACGGCGGGGGCAAAAAGGCACTGTCGTCGGATGCAGGTTCCGACACGGTGACGCTGGGAAGCTCATTGCGGATGTGGCGGATCTTGTCAGCGTCCGTCAAGGAGTTGCCACCCAGGGCTGAGGAAATATGGCGGATCCGGGGGTCATCAAAGGGAATATATTGGATCCCTCCACCAGGGCGCTCCTGGGTAGTATACACAGGGTAAAGCTGCTTCTGACCAGACATGCTTCTATCTCTCTGGGGATCAGGCCAGGAGCCAGCTGGATGTCTGGTGAACCAGTGAGATCCATCTGGAGCCACATGTATCTGCTGGTACACATCCCCTCTGTACCTAAGAGTAAAAACAACACAGTTGCACTTTATCTAAGCAACAATGACTTCAACTAGACAATTTGTAATAAAAAAAAAGTGAGGACTTCAAAATAACAATTTAAATGATGTTAGCCAACCAAATTATATGGCACTACTTTTTCAAAACGTTTTCATGTCAAGGACCACCTTTTGCATTTTTACATTTTAATATTATAAAGTCTTCATAGTCAATCAATGATCAAACCAGAATCACTATAAATTACAATCAATAACAATGGCCAACCCCAAAAAAATTACTAAAAGTTAAAATTCCTCCCTTTGCTGGGGACTCCCTACAACCGACTTAAGGACCCCTGTTGGTACCCGAATCCCAGTTTAAAAACCACTGTACTTCAGTTTTTGTTATTTATTCACCCTTTTGTGCCAGGGAAACAAAGAGATCTACAAAGATAAGCATCTCTGCCTTGTTGCAGCAGTCTGTTTCTCTTCTAATCCACGCAAGACGCAGAGCTCAACAGCCACTCACTGTCCGTGCTGCTGCATGATCGCTTTTTGCGTGCAATTTGTGCCAGTGCTGGAAAACCGAGGTAATTATTTCTCCTAATATCTGAGTTGGAAATAACCAACAACATTGAACCAGTGCAAAATTGATATGACGCAACAGCTAAACATCGACCACTGACATCAGTGAATTCCATCTTATTTGCGGATAGGCTGATGTCAGTCAACAAGCCGATACCGATGTTCGGCCAATACAGTGCATCCCTAATAAATGATACATATCCACAGACAAAACATACAACAGACAATGATCTTGAGGCCTTTTTGTTGTCTGGAGACATCTATTACAATCTGGCTTAGGCCTTACATATAAATAAATAAAGTAAGTAGTCTCAAGCTGTGCTTTGTCACACTTTTTTGAGTTCAGATAGATATATTTTGAATGTTCATAGTCAGTGACACTGTCATTGACTATAACACCTTCAAATTTCTTGAAATGTTCGGTGTATGTGTAAAATAAAATAAAAATAAAGATTCATTTTAGTCTCATGTTCACACTATGAACATTACAGTTCAAGATGAGAGTCCAAGATGTACCAAATAATAAAAATGTACATTACACACTTACACACTCAAAAGAGAAAAGTGAAAAATATATTGAATTTGACAAAGACATTTTTATTTACCTGTAGTCAACAGCAATTTCACCATATCCCCGGCGCCCCCCACCCATAATAGGAGCTCTTTTATATGATGGGGGAGGGATGTATCCTGGAGGTCCAGAGTCCTGTGCAAAATACTCCAGTTGGGGGTCACCTGTCCTTGATATGGGAAGTGGGGTTCTGTCCCTGGCCTGGGGAATCACTGAGTCTCTCCCAGACAACACCTCACAGCTTCCCCTGATCTGCTGGTGCATCTCATAGGATGGAGGTCTGGGGGGTCGGGTGAAGCGGGGCTTTGGTGTCATTGAGAGTTGGTTGGCGCTAGCTGGCCTGCCATTCTCTGGCCAGTGGGGTGCCCTGTAAAGGTCATGGTGTGACAGTGGGTGGCCATTGACTCGCCTGTACAGTTCCTGACCGGATGAGGCTATGTCCACGTATTGCAGGCTCTCAGGCTGCAGCATCCTGGGTAGGGACTGGGATTTGGCTTTGGTCCTGGGGTGGACTACCATGCCCTCTGGTGTCCTGGCATGAAGCCGCTGCTGCTCCTGCGCCCAACGTTCACCTTCACTCTGTGACAGCTGGCGGCCAAAGCTCACAGCTGGACGCCACTCATCTGTCCCCAGGCTCTGGCACTTCCTCTCGGTCACCATTCTCCACTGATGGAGAGCGGCTTCCCTCTCTCTAGTACGTGCTTGAGCCTGGACCTGGGCCTTAGCCTGTGCCTGAGCCTGGGCCTGTGCTGCCCAGCGCTGCCTCTCCTGAGCTGCCCTCTGACGTTCATCTGCAGACAACTCTTGGCCTCTTGCTTGTTGAGACCCCTCTGGCCTGACATAACCCCCCTGCCCTCCTCCATGGGGTTCTCTGAAGTCAGCATAGTCCAGAAGCACAGTGAAGTCCTGGCCTCTCCTCCTCCAGTATGACACGTCCTTGGACTGTGACTGAGGACCTCTGGTGCCATCACAGAACCTGTGAGGAAAAACACACACAAATAAAGGCATTGGTATGCTTCAACAGAAGTGCTTGTTGGATGGTTGAATAGTGTCTAAAACCCCATCTCCCTACAACTTTCCAACGTCAGAATTGGGTTTCTGTAACTCTCCAACCTGGACAAGAAGAAGCCCAGTTTACACAGCGATTGACCAGGTGTGCAGGAGGGTAAGGAGGGTTTGAACTTCCACTTCGAACTCGCCTTTTTCTTTACACAATTACTTCTGTCATTTTTTGTGTTCAACACTATGAATCCCTATCCTGAAAGACTGCCCAAAGGTGTCCGCCGTTATCCCCAGTATTTAGACATTCAGAACAGCTATCCAGTTTTGCCTTCAGACACGGTAACACTATGTTTTATGTTTTAACTAGTTTGTTTCAGGCTGAATCCAAACTTTAATATTCTTTGGTTTATAGCAGATTTAGAGATGTGCCAATGTGGTAAGCTACAACTCAGTGGAAGAATTTGAGCAAAGCACTAGAATCTCTCAGTATCTCCCACTAGGTGGAGACAAATGACCACGAGTAGCAATGCAGTGTCTGGTAATTGTGATTTTCTATGGGGCATAATGAACACATTACACAATGACAAACTGTGGCTGTTAGTCCCGGATGTCCTCCAAGACAGATCAACAATTTAGAGGACGTTTCATTGACTTGAATCTTTCTATTGTACTGTCCTTTAGCTCCTAATCTAAGAAAATGAACAGCATTTCACTAAACCAGTGTAGGGAGAGCTCCTGCTATATCTCTGAGAGAACGTTTGAGACAGACCTGATGGGCTACAACAAGACGCAATGGGTCTCAGCATACAGTCTGATCATTTCAGGCTATTTGTGGAGTGACTGAGTGACTGAGTGACTGACGACGCAAACAAGACGCAAGCACATGTGTACACCCCCTCGAGGCCGAGGCCACTGAGCGTCCTTGACATTTCAATCCATGATCATCACTGGTCAGAGATGTTTGCTGGGGGAAGGGGGGCTAGCCATGCCAATCTGCTACATTTGAGGGCATCTCATGTAAGATGAGTTAGCATCATTAGTCTAATTGGGTCTAAGTAGCACTGCCTAATGGGAGTGCCAAGATAGGCCTGTTCCTTATCTAAACTAAAGCTGCCAGGCAAAACGGATTTGGATGAGAGGAAAAAAAGAGGGATGAACAAACAACAGACTGAAATCTCAGAACATATGTCTTAGCAATTCCCACATTCCCAATAGAATGCTCTGATAGCACTGGCAGAGCAGTGACATGAAACTGCGGATTACTCGTCTCAAAGAATAAAACCGAAAAGTGAAAAAACACTAACACAACCACTGACATTACTCAAGGTCATCTGACTATTTTCAGATGCTCTGTCACTGGCTGGTGGCAAAAGGGATTATGGGGAAAAAAAGAAAGTCCACCAAACAAAATGTAAGGAAAAAGGGAAAATATCTGACAAGCCTGCCTAATTATGTGGACATGGTAACAGCTGTATTGACTTTGTCTCAGTTACAGCACACTAACCCCCTGAACTGGTGCAAATAGGCAAACTAAACAATCCTGTTTTCATCAAAAAACAGATTGGCTGCAGCCTGGCGATATCTCTGGAAATATCATACGTTCTAACAGCCCCTACCCAAGAGGGTTTCAATTGCATAACTCCAGACTAGGCTAAATATAGCCTATCCTCCATATACATATTTAAATAAACCATATATGAATCCTGTATTATTGATGGGGTATGCATTATATAAGTATGTATAATGCTTGTGAAACAGTGGAAGCAGATTAGGCTTATTATGTTTGGGGGTAGAATGGGAAGGGGGTATCCTGACAAACCTGGCAACCTGGTGTGTGTAAGACTGGGCATGCTCAAATGGGGCACATAGGTTTGCCCAAAAGCTGTTTTGATTACAACTCCAAGGCCCCATGTGGCAGATTAAGCCTCCAGCACACATTATCCCTCCTCCCCTGCCCAAGACTTGATTGGGAAGAGGAAGAGAGGGGGAAATAAGAGATGAAATGAGAGGAAGTTAAACACAAGGGGAAAGACAGAAGCAGGAGAGAGATGGCAGGAGGGGCTGAGTGGTAGTGTTAGGTAGCTTTACGATGTGACGCAAAATCCTAATGCAAAACCTCCTTCATGAGTTATTTCATTTCATTAATTAGCTCCATTAGAGCACCATAACAATGAATGATTGGGTCATCAATAAAGGGTGAGGACAACCATTGTCAGGATAGATCATGCAAAAGGGTTGATCAGACAGGAGTACATCATTGGTCTTGAGGTACAGCACAGACTATCTCTTACCCGCTGTCTGAGGTCAGCGACTCCCCCAAGGAGTGGGTGTCAATTTGGCTCCGGCTTTCGCCCTCCCGCCTGGACTGGCTCCTGTCCCTGGGTTCGTTGTTGTTGTTGGGACAGCCACCGCCATACGCTTGGGGCTGCCTGGTTCCGGCACCATTCCCATAGGGCACCCCGGGCCCTCTTTCATAGCCGTTTACTGTCCTGGGAACAGGCATGTTCTCCAGGATTTCATGGTGTTTGCTGTAGGACGGCGGTGAGGACGAGGGACCCTGGCGGGATGAGGTTGCGGGGGCTGGGGTAGGGGTAGAGGAGGAGGTGGTATGCTTGGGCAGCTTGTATCCATGAGAGATGAGGAGGTCCTCCACGCTGTACATGGTCGCATTTGTTAATGCTGGTGTGTTTTCTTTTTTCCTCTTTCTCTTCTTTTTTTGAGAGAGAGAGAGAGGAAGGTAGGTCGGTTGTCAAGGCGTCTCTGCTTCTTCCCTGCGTGCAGCGGCAGGATCACCGGCACAGCTGCGCAGCTGAGGCCATCACTGGGAAAAAAAGAAAGAGGGGGACGACATGAAGAGACAAGAAGAGAAACAGAGAAAAGAAGGTGACAGTAAAACCATTATACCCGCTACCCGTGTCCAGATTTTGTTAAGGGTCCTGACCCATATGGACAGTTGAGAGGACAAAACAAAAAAAAGGACCCCGAACCCAAATTCTAAGCCGCCACGACAAAACCGAGATCACCCGCCTTCCCAGCAGCCTGCCCCCCCCACCCCCCTTCTTCTCCAGTCCTCCTAGCAACAACCCTCTTTCCATCTCACTCGGAGATCCCCGGCACCAAACCCATCCACGTCCAGAACCGAGGAGGACGAGGAGGTAAACGAACACCCTCAAAAACAACCCTCAGTAGCATGATGATCAGCGGCAACAAGAGTTTCAGAAGGCTGCTGGTGCTGCAGCAAAATGTCACTGTTTACAGTGGGCTTCCTGTAGACTTCCATACAGTGGCTCTAAGGTAGCAGTTTGCAGCCAACCACTGCTCATGTTTTGCATCAATGAGGCAACTGGGGGATTGTATTCCCCTCTGCTCACCTCCACATCCTCTCTCTCGACATCTTTTCCTCATCTCAAAAGTATTTTTTGGTTACAGTCTAAAAGGATGAGGAAATGTTTTCAGCTATATGCCCTAAAAAAATTTCCAGCTTGGATAAGGGTTTGCTTCTACCTTTATTTCTGAATCCTTGAGAATATTACCAAATTTAAATCGTTATGAAAAGAATAGACTATGAGAATCGAAAGGAACTGACTAACAACATGCTCCTCTTTGATGGTGTCTGTGTGTAGAGCTCAAATGATTATCCGATTGATCAATCAAAAGTGAATTGTGGTGGTTTTATTAGTCCTCTATGATTGTTTTCCTTAAGCACAGATGCAGCAAGTTATTTTACTAAGCTTAAAGAAGGTATAGTTCTTGAGGGACACAGCAATAGAGCAATAACACTGAGTAAACCCTAATCATATTCAAAGACTTAAAAGTACAATAGCATTATGACTTGCTTTCTGTCTAAAAGATGACTATAAGTATTAGTATCAACGAATGATGAGAAATCAAATTGATGATGCCCTGGGTGCATCTGCTTATGATGTAATATCCTTGATGAAGTCATGCTTGCTGCCTTGTCAACAGGACAGATGCTGCTGCAGCCCACTCATTCAATACTCTCCACTGGAACAGACTGCCAACAACCTGGCTGTCCTTAATAAGAAATGGCATTCAGAAACAGCAGTATGAGTCTCGTTGCCAGAATCAAATGCTGTTCAGACAGTTTAAAAGCCAATCACACTATGATTGTTCAATGGCAGAGCCAAATTGCTTGTTTTCGGGTCCTGAAAAACAGATGGCCGACACAGCCTCACCGAAATGTATTCAGCTGCAAACAGATTAGCATTTGTTTTGCTTCTTAGCATTTGTTTAGCCATGATAGTCCCATAGAGATGAAAAATCCATCTATGAAAGAAGTCCTGACTCAGAGGGCAGAATCACTACCCCAGTCTATTTCCTATGGCTCCCTCCCTCCTCCCTGTACCTGAACCCTAGGATAGCCTACTAGGTGATTAACAGGATCCAAGACCGTGAAATGCCGCTCTCTTTGTATGTCTGGCTCTCTAATACGATTATCTTTTTCATTTAAAACCTTAAACCTGTTAGTTTTGGAGGATTGACTCTTGGCGCTTACCCAGTTAATACTTTTGTTGAGTTTAACTCTTTCCATTTGCGTTTTGAGTAATCTCCTCAAGGAGAGGCTAGTTCAGATTTTGATAGGGAGGTTCTTGTGAACGATGTCAATGCAAAAATGTTTGGTTTTGGTTTGCTTCGTTTGCCTCCAGATGTGTGTGCAGACCTGGGACATGCAGTTTTTCATTGACTGTTATTTCATGAACTGTAATTGAACTTGTGCTGGGCAGCATGCCAGTTCAATAAGTCATACACTCTGAAATACTGTAAAAGTCAGCAAAATGGATTTCAAGATGGTAATATTTGTGGCCATTTCTCACTACAGATTATTCACCCAAATTCATCTGATGAACAAAACTTGTTTTCTTATATACTTAAAACTAAGAACCAACAGCAAAGCTCCCTACAGTCCTGGAGAAGCCCATATCAGACTTCGAGATCAGAGGCAGATCGGTATCGCTACCCATGCCTTCCTGTAAATAATGCCTATCCCTCCAACCAGGCTTAATTAAGTGAGCCTTAGGTCAAGTGCTATGTTTATTAATATGATAATTCACTTTTGTTATGATATTTGCACAATAACCTCTCTTAACTGCACCTCCATATGCTGTCTAATCTAGCTAAACCCTTAATCAGGGGCAATTGCTCTTTGTGTCATCACTGAATGAGGATTATCTCCATCATCGCTAAAAGTGAGGATTTCCTCCTGTAAAGTGACCTGCCCTCATTCAGTCCCCCACCAATACCCCACCCCCACTCCTTCCTTCCCATGACAAGCTCAGTTTAAATACTGCTAATGCTGTTACGCAATGGAATTACCCATTTTATATCAAATAAAACCTCGGATTCAAGCAACGGTATGCAACAATGGTCGGCTTTCATCCCCCTAAACACAACAACATTGTGTTTCGCTACAATGCCTTTCTTGTGTGAAAAAGACTGGCATTACGGCCTCTTGAATTTGGCAACTGGAGAAAAAAAATGCAGATCTGCTGCATTTTAATGACATGGCTCACTCAAAGAGAAATTAATGATATAGTTTATGGATAACATATGCTGCAAAGTAAGCTAAAAATAAATAGAACCACATGAGGCCTGGCATTTCCCTACAGACGACCCTCACACCAACCTCTGCATTTTCTCTAATCAGCCACTGTGCACTACTACTGTAACACTATTTACACTTAGTACGCAGTGGAACATGGAAGACCGCCGCTTTTGAGGTCAACTGAACTTTTGTCAAGGCCACGGCTTGTTTATTAAAAACAGATACAAGCATTTTTTGGCTTTGTGAGGGGGGGCCCTGTGCCCTCACTGGTGGCTACACCAGAGGCGGGCTACAGGGGCATGACGGCTTGCAGGTTGACAGTTTGGTGTCAGCTCCTTATTCGTGGCCCAACTGAGATGAGGGCATAGTGGGAAGGCGGAGAGGAAGGGAAGCAGAGGGACGGCACGGGTGGCAGACAATGCAGGACAGAGACCTAGATCAGGCCTCGGGGAGGACAGGACTGCAGAGTTAGAGGGTGCTGGTAAATATTCCAGATTGCAGGCATGGGCTACAATCTATATGTATATTCTCTGCACTGTGGTCAAAACAAATTGAGTAGCCGTGATTAATTTTGTCGCAGAGATGTGTTAAAATAGCACATCCCTCCTAAAAGTGAAGACAAAAACAAATCTGGATTTAACAGGCTCCAGCATAAAAACACCACAACAAAAGAAATCTCACACACCAGAGTCTGGAACCAAGAAGACGATTAGCCCGCTTCCCAAAATATTCCACAAGAGCCGCACCTCTCTACCACATTGTTCCCAGTCTCCTTGGATCTATAACAACTGACCCGAGTGGGTGTGTACTTGGCTAGTCTCTGGCCTGCATCTGTTAGGACTGTGCACGCACAGGGGTTTCTCAGGGATGACAGCCCATCACATTCAGCAAACAGCAACGGTCCGCAGATTGTTTATCTATGTGACATCACTGTGTCCAGCAGAGGGGCCGTCTCTCTTCCTGAGGAAGTGCGTCGTTGTGGAGACGGAGGAGAGCCGGCGGTGTCGCAAATGCTTCCAATCAGGATCTCTGCGGGCTCCTGTTTGTCCTGGGGAAAGAAGTTGGAGCCCCGTTTTTTGGCCGGGGCCAGAGGAACGAACAGCCAAACAACCTCAGGCCATATTTTACCCCACACTGACCTCTAGAAAGCACAATGTTCTCCACCTCAGGTAGACTGTAACTCAGCAACATAAAGTGCAGGCATATTATCTGGGGAGCTATCTGCCCTCTGGACACTCGCCATCCATCAGAGCAATCCCACTGGGCTCGGGAGACATGCAACCACAGTTTAGGGCAATTATGACCTATTACAACAGTGAAAAATTAAGATTGTAAATCAGGCTTGTAAACTATCAAGTCAAAATCAGTTTAAAATAACAACAACTGACCATTACAAAAAAGAGCTCATCACCACGTTGCAACCCATGTGCTTTCTCCAGCATCCACGCCCTCCTGGTAGAGAGAGCAGCAACAGGCAGGGCCCGCGCATTGTGAGCCAATTAGCTCATTCGGAAAGGTTAAGCCAAAAAACACCCACTTACGTTATTTTGTTGAGCATATCCCATGGCAACAGTTGTTTTTCTTTTGTGAATGGCAGCTCACAGACAATAGCATGTGGGCTGCTAAGATATTCCCGCTGCATTGCCTCAGTCCAAAACGTATTACAGTCAGACTCTACTGGCAGCGAAATCAAAGGCAGGATGGGATGAGGGGTGGAGGAGGGGGGTGTTGTTTTTATTCCACCATATTCCAACACATCACAGTCTGAAACAGTATGGTCTGGTCCTGATTCATTTCAGACTGTCAAAAAGTAGTCCAGCCAAACATTTGTCTAATGCAGTATCAGTGTTTGAATCCACAGAAAATGTTCAGTCACAACTGGCTTACACACAAGAACAGTATAGCTAATAGCTCATTAATGCACAAGGCAAAGCTGTGCAGCAACCAGTAAGACACTGACGATGTGAGGATAATTATATCAATGGACTCATTTTGCATTGTATAGCTGGCTTAGCTCAGTTCAGCTGAAATACAGCAATTTGACGTCACGAGATTTCCTTCAGCTGAATGCATCCAACCCTCATATGTGAAGGAAGATCCAGGGCTAAGCATTCGCTCCAAAACACCACAGCTCACGCCAGCATTTTGAAAATTATCATTTCATATGAAATTATATAATGGTTAAGGACCCCCGCACACAATATAATCCTCTAACTACCCATAAAACAGAATATAAACAAAAAAAAGAATACGTGAAAACAGAGCGATAGAGGAGCTAAATACCCTGACTTCCATGCTCAAGTCAAAATCACAAGCAGAGCGTTCTATTCGAACCCCCCTGACTCACCATGATTCACTTCACGTGTCATCATCTGGCGCTGATCAAACCTAATATATGCCTACTGTCCATTCTCTAACGACTAAGCACCCGGACCTTGAAGACACTAATTACCCACTAAAGAAGCCAGTCTATGGGCCCATGCAATCCAAAACACGGGCATCAGTTGGTGAAGTTACAAGTTTGCAGATCTGAGAAGGGCACCTACAGTGTTTCAAACGAGTAGCCACGAAAAAAATCATCAGATCGCACTTATTACATGTCTTAGCATATAGAATAATCACCTATCTTTATGCCAACCCCCCCCCACCCCCCACACGCCCTCAC